ATTAAGACAGAAATCAAGAAGTTCCTTGAAACTAATGAGAACAAAGAAACAACATACCAGAATCATGGGGATGCAACTAAAGCAATGTTAAGAGAGGAATTTATAGCACTAAATGCCCATATCAAAAAGCTACAAAGATCTCAAATTGATATTCTAACATCACAACTAAAAGAACTAGAGAACCAGGAACAAACAAACCCCAAAGCTAGCAGAAGACAAGAAATAACCAAGATCAGAGCAGAACTGAAGGAGATAGAGACACACTCAAAAACCCTTCGAAAAAAAACAACAAATCCAGGAGATGGTTTTTTGGAAAAAAAAAAAAAAAAAAAGAATAAAACAGATAGTTAGCTAGATTAATAAAGAAGGAAAGAGAATAGTTAAAGAATCAAATAGACACAATGTAAAATGGTAAAGGGGATACCACCACTAACTCCACAGAAATACAAACAAAAATCAGAGACTACTATAAACACCTCTATGCAAATAAACTAGAAAATCTAGAATAAATGAAAAAATTTTTGGACACCTACACCCTCCCAGGACTGAACCAGGAAGAATCTGAATTCCTGAATAGACCAATAAGTAGTTCTGAAATTGAGGCATTAATAAATAGCTTACCAACCAAAAGAAGCCCAGTACCAGATAGATTTATAGCTGAATTTTACCAGAGGTACAAAGAGGAGCTGGTACCATTTCTTCTGAAACTATTCAAAACAATGGAAAAGAGGGACTTCTCCCTGACTTATTTTATGAGGCCAGCATCATCCTGAAAATGAAATCTGGCAGAAATGAAAAAAAAAAAAACCACAAAACTTCAGTCCAATATCCCTGATAAACATCAATGCAAAACTCCTCAATATAATACTGGCAAACCAAATCCAGCAGCACATCAAAAAGCTTATCCACTACATACAAGTTGGCTTCATTCTCAGGATGCAAGGCTGGTTCAACATATGCAAATAAATAAACATAATTCATCACATAAACAGAACTAAAGACAAAAAACACATGATTATCTAAATAAGCACAGAAAAGGCATTTGATAAAATTCAACATTTCTTCCTGTTTAAAAACTCTCAATAAACTAGGTGTTGAAGAAACATACCTCAAAATACGAGCCATTTATGACAGACCCACAGCCAATATCATACTGAATGGGCAAAAGCTGGAAGCATTCCCATTGAAAACTGGAAAAAGACAAAAATGCTCTTTCTCACCACTCCTATTCAACATAGTACTGGAAGTTCTGACCAGGGAAATCAGGCAAGAAAAATAAATAAAGTGTATTTGAACAGGAAGAGAGGAAGTTGAATTGTCTTTGTTTGTGGATGGCATAATCATATATCTAGAAAACTCCATCGTCTCAGCCCAAAAGCTTCTTAAGCTGATAAGCAACTTCAGCAAAGTCTCAGGATCCAAAATCAATGTACAAAAATCACAAGCATTCCTGTACACCAACAACAGATAAGCAGACAGTCAAATCGTGAATGAACTCCCATTCACAATTGCCACAAAGAGAGTAAAATACCTAGGAATACAGCTAACAAGGGAAGTGAAGGACCTCTTCAAGGAGAACTACAAACCACTGCCTGAGGAAATCAGAGAGGACACAAACACATGGAAAAACATTCTATACTCATGAATAGGAAAAATCAATATTCTGAAAATGGCCACACTGCCCAAAGTAATTTATAGATTCAATGCTATTCACATTAAACTGCCATTGACATTCTTCACAGAATTAAACAAAACTACTTTAAAATTCATAAGGAACCAAAAAAAGAGCCCATATAGTCAAGACAATCTTAAGCAAAAAGAATGAAGCTGGAGGCATCACACTAACTGACTTCAAACTATACAAGGCTACAGTAACCAAAACAGCATGGTACTGGTACAAAGACAGACACATAGACCAATGGAACAGAACAGAGACCTCAGAAATAAGAACACACATCTACAATCATCTGATCTTCGACAAACCTGACAAAAACAAGCAATGAGGAAAAGAGTCCCTATTTAATAAATGGTGCTGGGAGAACTAGCTAACCATATGCAGAAAACTGAAACTGGACCCTTTCCTTACACTTTATACAAAAATTAACTCAAGATGGAATAATGACTTAAATGTAAAACCCAAAACCATAAAAACCCTAGAAGAAAATCTAGGGAATACCACATAGAACAAAGGCACAGGCAGCGATTTCATGCCAAAAATGTCAAAAGCAATTGCAACAAAAACAAAAATTGACAAATTGGATCTAATTAAACAAAAGAGCTTTTGCACAGCAAAAGAAACTATCATCAGAGCAAACACAACCTACAGAATGGGAGAAAATTTTTGCAACCTATTCATCTGACAGAGGTCTAATATTCAGAGTCTACAAGGAAATTAAACAACTTTACAAGAAAAAAATCCAATCCCATTTAAAAGGGGCCACGGGCATAGACACTTCTCAAAGGTACTGATTTTGTAGCAGTACCATACTGTTTTGGTTACTATAACTTCATAGTATAATTTGAAGTCAGTTAGCATGATGCCTCCAGCTTTGTTCTTTTTGCCTAGGATTATCTTGGCTATATGGGCTCTTTTTTGGTTCCTTATGAATTTTAGAGACATTTGTGCAGCCAACAAACATATGAAAAAAGCTCAACATCACTGATCATTAGAGAAATGCAAATAAAAACCACAATGAGATACCATGTCACACCAGTCATATGGCGAGTATTTAAAAGTAAAGAAACAGCAGATGCTGCAAATACTGTGGAGAAATAGGAACACTTTTACAACGTTGGTAAATTAGTTCAAGCATTGTGGAAAATAGGGTGACAATTCCTTAAAGACCTAGAACCAGAAATACCATTTGACCCAGCAATCCCATTACTGGGTATATATACCAAAGCAATATGAATTATTCTATTATAAAGACACATGCACATGTATGTTCATTGCAGTACTACTCACAATAGCAAAGACATGGAATCAACCCAAATGCCCATCAGTGATAGACTGGATAAAGAAAACATAATACATAATACACCATGGAGCACTATGCAGCCATAAAAAGGAACAAGATCATATCCATTGCAGGGACAAAGATGAAGCTAGAAGCCATTATCCTCAGCAGACTAATGCAGGAACAGAAAACAAAACACTGCATGTTCTCACTCATAAGTGGGAGCTGAATGACGAGAACACATGGACACAGGGAGAGTAATAACATACACTGGAGTCTGTTGGTGGTGGGGGTGTGGGGAGAGGGAGAGCATCAGGATAAATGGCTAATGCATGTGAGGCTTAATACCTAGACAATGGGTTGATAGGTGCAGCAAACCACCGTGGCACACATTTACCTATGTAAGAAACCTGCACGTCCTTCACATGTATCCCGAAACTTAAAATTAAAAAGAAGGAAAGGAGGAAAAAAGCATCATTGCATTGCACAGAGACTGTTTTATAGGGATGAGCCTGTGTCTTAGAATAAACGATTTTAGGGAAACCAGGGAATCTATTAGAGGAGGAGAGAGAAAAGGTGGCAAAGGTTGAAAACTAACTAGCTGATATTATGATCAATGCCCATTGACAGGATCAATTGTACCCCAAAGGCCACCATCATGCAATATATTCAAGTAACAATTCTGCACATGTACCCACTGAATCTAAAATAAAAGTTGAAATTATTTATTTAAAAAAAACTGGGAGTCAGTTGTGGTGACTTACACCTGTAATCCCAGCACATTGGGAGGCCAAGGTGGACAGCTTGACCTTAGGAGTTCAAGACCAACCCGGGCAACATGGTGAAACCCCATCTCTACTAAAAATACAAAAATTAGCTGGTGTGTGCCTGTGGTCCCAGCTACTCAGGAGCCTGAGGTGGGAGGATCACTTGACCCTGGGGGATGAAGATTGCCATGAACCGAGATTGTGCCACTACACTCCAGCCTAAGGGACAGAGTGAGATCTTGTCTGAAAAAAAAAAAAAAAAAAAGCAAAGAGAAAAGAAAGTAGGGAAGCTGATAGAGTCTGACAGAGTGATTGGTACCCAAATCAAGTAAAGTTTGAATTCTATGGGGACTCTGTTTCCTTAGGCAAGTCATATTCAATACAGTGCCATAATCTATTTGAGAGAAATATGTTACCTATAGTTGAAAGAAATATGTTACCTATATTTCCAGAATATATCTAAAAATCCTGTTAGTGCCCAGAAGAGCTGCTGAAGCCATTTCTACTTTAAGTAGCTGTTGAATAGGAGTCAAAGAATAGAAATACTTCTGTAATAAATATCAAATACTTAGATGGAAAATTATATTTGTAGAACAAGGAAAATTTATTGTTGTCTCTATAATTTTATTGTTGTCTCTACAATTTTATTGTTCTCTAGTATTTTTTAACTTTCAATGTTTCAGTACATACATGAAATGAATTTAGATTTTATATTTAATCTCTAGGGAAATAATTTCCTAAACCGCTCTAGGGAAATAATTTCCCTAGAGATTAAATATAAAATCTAAATTCATTTCATGTATGTACTCTTATTTCTAAACAGCTCTACTTTCTGGGTACAATACAAATAGGGGATGGAATAGTTTTTGATTGCCCAAGCTTTAAAGAATGAAGGAGATAACACGATAACACTGAAAAACAATAATCCTTGTATACCAGTAATAAAATTTAGATGAGACATTTATTTTATCCAGGGCTGCCTAGCTCCAACAGTTTGAGAAAGAAATGAACAACAAGATGATGTGAAAACCAGATTTGGCATCAAATTTAATCATCTATAGAATGAGATATTTTTCAATTAAGAATAAATTATGAAAATAAGGGAAAGGCATATCTAACACATGCATTTTCTATTAAAAGATTTCTTTCAGTAATTCTTTTGAGCACCAGGTCCTATATCATTGTATTTTTAGTTCAATGAAACATGAAAGATTCTATTCTAAAATGGAATAACTCAGACTTTTAACAATTTTCCTTGTCTTTTACTTTCTTTTAGTACTTGAAGAAAGCAACTGCTCAGATCCTGGGGTTCCAGTCAATGGGTACAAGAAAATAACAGGGGGCCCTGGACTTATCAATGGACACTCTGCTAAAATTGGTACCATCATGTCCTTTTTTTGTAACAACTCCTATGTGCTTAGTGGCAATGAGAAAAGAACTTGCCAGCAGAATGGAGAGTGGTCAGGGAAACAGCCCATCTGCATAAAAGGTAATTTACAATTGTTTCTGAAGTCTATAGACATAGATGACGTTGCTAGACTTTTTGGTAGCTCCTTTGCATGTTTTTAAGCACCTGGAAAAAATGCCTTTCTCTCTTAAGTTCTTTCTGAAACCATATGTAACTCTGAGGTTGGAAACCATCCTAAAAACATTTGCTTTTTTTTGGGCGGGAGGGACCACAAAAGGACCTACTTTCCCTAATCACAACACCTTGAGGTGATCAAGAAGAGGAATATAGTTATCAGAGCGGTTTAGGAAAGATGACAGGGCTAAGTTTAATATATGCAAATCCAAGTATGAATTGAGGCAATGTATAAGCATTTACATAGCTCCACTTATCTACTTTCTATGCAATATTAAGCTGATGCAAGAAATAAAAGAAAAAAATAGATGCATCATCCCTGCCAGCTTATAGAGGGGGAGGATTGAAGATGTTAAGATTGAAGGTGTTTAAAAACAAAGAGAGTAAACCCTTGTAGATTCAAGGGATAGTTATAGGATGAGAGGAGTGGTGTAAGTTCAGCAAAAGGAGAGATAGATGTTTCTGAAATAGGGACAGTTGCATGAATCCAGTAGGACTGGAGCCAGTCTGGAAAGCTGGGGAGGATTTATAGATGTGAAGAGGAGTTGGGTTGGTATTCCAGATGGAAGACAGCGGAAAAAAAAAGAGGTGTAGGCAGAAGTGAAGTCATCGTGGTAAACTCAAAGTGAGGCAATCTGGGAATCTAGGAGGTAAACTTAAATATGTAGGTTGGACAGAAAAGTGGAATATCGTATAGAGAAATTTGAACCTTCCCCATTGGCAGTGGGGAGGCATAGTTTCTCACTGAATTGACTCACTAGTTGCTTCAGGTTAACAGCGTCTCTATTTGGGGGCAGGCCACAATGATCTGGCTGTTTATTGGGAAGAAAACATGTCCTTGTCCTAGATTATCCAGATAATTGCCTTAATCCTCCACTTTGCCTTCGGGGTGTTTGTCAACAACCTGAATCATGGGAAAAGGAATGAAAGGGAATGGTTTGTGAAAAGAATAAATCACTTTAGACTTTAGCCAGAAGCGACCTTCATCTCCACCAGCACAAATTCTGATTTTTTATTTCATTAAGTATGGGAATGGTGTCACATATGTCCTTGGAGATTTTTGTCCACTCTTCTCTTACAAATTAATACAACCGAAGTTCTCTAAGTTGCTAATTAGATGAATGTTGGCTGCCTGATTGGGAAAGTGAGATGGGAAGGATTCCTTTTCACTGGTGAAGAAAGAAAGACTTCAACAAAATTAAACTGGGCTTTGAATTGCCCTCGAGTGATTGTTAGGGGCCTTAACGGCAGAGAAAGAACATGGAGGATTCAATTTTCCAAGACTTATCTATGGTTGACACTGCTGTCTGGTGTCAAAAGAGAACCTTCTAATTCCCCGTGGGGGCTATGTTTTAGAACCTTCACTTTGACTTTTATTCCATTTTCATCAAGTTTGCTAATTCTATTCATGTGAACAGATGATCCTAATTTATGATGCCATTGTCCTAAATCACTCAGGTGAGGCAGCCCTTCAGAGGCATCTGCTCTTCTTGTATTCTTCAGAGGGTACTGTCAATCAAGATGAAAGGCAGCAAGCTCTTTTGTAAAGTGAGATGTTCAAGCTTCACTGATGTGTCTTGCCTCTGAGAGCCTGGGGAATGGGCACTGGGTGTCCAGAAGTAGGGGTCAGGTATGAATTTGAACTGAATGATGTGAACAGTCAATATGAAAAAGGATCGTGCAGCAGTGTCTTCTTTATTTCTAGCCTGCCGAGAACCAAAGATTTCAGACCTGGTGAGAAGGAGAGTTCTTCCAATGCAGGTGCAGTCAAGGTGAGGTTGAAACACCTGCACTCTGCCCTGACGGCTAATGAGTATTTCCCCTACCATTCCCCTTCCCTATTTGTGTTTGGCTAAAGACAGTCTGAGGTTTCTTAGGGACATTTAGTGCTAACTGGTCATGAAAGAATAGGGTTGTTAGATGGAAGCTTATTAGCCAGCTGCCTTTAGCCAAGAGGTAGCAACTGTTGGAAGATGTACAAATTGCACTGGATCGTGGGAAAGTACATGGCCAGTGGAAAGCAAGACTTTCAGATGATCTTTGAGAAAATGGACTTGAATCCTTGAGTCTTCCTGAAATTACCATGTACTTGTTATGACAGCTTCTAGGGAGATTACATTTCTGTTAAACACAGCCAGCTATAATTTAGGAAGATATGCTTGAAAGTAACCAATGAGATGAGGCAGTCTGGGGAGCCCAAGGACTAGAGACCAATGACCAGCCATGCAGAGGGATGTGAACCCTCTAGTGTGCCCCGCTTTTCTCCTGGGAAGACAAAGGTGGGGTCCATCTGGTGGGGAGGGAGTAGTCCCTTTCTACTCATCTCTTCTACATTCTCCTCCTCCCTCTCTCCAGTCCAGCAACACGGGCCTCCTTGGTTTTCCTCTATCAGTCCAAGCACAGTTCTGCTTTAGAAAGAACTCTGACTTCTCCTGTCTGGAACCTGCTTCTACAACATCTCAGTAAGGCTTAATGCCTCTCTTCCTTCAGTTCTCTGCTCAGTTTTTGCCTAACAGAGAGACCGTCCCTAACTATCCTTTTAAAGATAGCAATTCTATATTTACTCTGACTGTCTAGTGGACCTCTTTACCCAGAATTCTCTAGACTTTACTCCGTTTCTATCTTAGCATCCCTCTCCACCTGTTGACTTACCTTTTTTTCTTAAGGGTTTATTTGTTTAATTTCTGTCTCCCTTACTCTCTCTGAAATCTGAAAGGTACACGTGCAGGAACATGATATATTTTGTTCATGCTGAAAGTTCTAGTGCCTAAAACATACATGCCACATAGTAGGCACTCAGTAAGTATTTATTGAGTGAATGAATTCGATTGACAAACAAAGGTTTAGGACCCAAGTGTGCCTCTATCTTTAGTGCTAGGCATTCTTGGGTGAGTTCATGGGCAAGTTCCTAAACCTGCTGAGCCTTAGTTTTTTTCTTTTGAAAGTAGGGATAATCATAGAAATCTGTCTCTGGGGATTGTTTTAAGGATTATATGCAACATAATAGTTAGCATTTGTTGCATGTTTGCTCTATGTCAGTTGCTCTTCTGAGTACTTTGGCTGCCTTAGTTCATTTAATCCTCACTATAACCTCTGAGGTAGGTATTTTTATTATCACCATTTTATTACAGATTTTATTACCATTTATATTAGAGAAGGGTAAACTGAGGCTCAGAGACATTAAGTAAGTTGTCCAATGTCACATTGCTAGAAGTGGCAAAGCCAGGATGTAAATACAGTATCTGGCTTCATGGACTGCTGTCTTACGCACTAGACTGAGTCTTATGTAAAGATCCTGGCAAAGCACCTTGGACACATAATCATCAGACAGTGATTTCTAACCTATTGTTAGAAATAGTAACAGTGAATTCTGGTGACCACAGCCAAGTTCCCCAGAATATTAATAAGTCAGAATATCCATCAGTCTCTCACCCCTCCTCAGGGCTGTCTCATTCCATTTTTGTCTTTTCCCTTTCAGGGGCAAGGCATTTCCTTGGAAACGGTGGCAGTGAAATTCAAATTCTGCCCTCTTTCCTGATCTGTGTGATTTCCTTGGGCTGGACTCTCCAATAAGTGGGACCAACCTGTTCTTCCCAAAGAGACATGCTGTAGAGCAGCCCCTGCACTATTCAAAAAGACTACTGGGTTTCCTGTTTTTAAAGCAATATTAATGAAAGGTTGGGAGGCAAGGTGCCAGGTTTTTCAAGTAAATGAAAAAGCAAGACCGAAACTTGGTTTTAAGTATCTTTTGGGAAGACAGGCAGCTGAAGTGGAAGGTATTCCTATCTCCAGCAGCCAGCTCCTCACCCAAGAGCCCACTGTAGACCTTGTATGGGCAAGGGAGGAGCTTCTTTGCAAGTTCAAGACCACCCTGAGCTATAGACCTGATTATAAATGTGAGCTAAAGATTTGTTTAATGAAATCAAGAGGATTGGACTATTTGCTCTGGGCCAAGCACTGTATATAAAATAGATTTCTTATGACAATATCATATTGCTATGGTGGGGACACCAGGGTAGAAATTTTGACTGCTAAGCACTGCCTTGGGTACCAAGTTTCTTTACTGTGTGCCTCTGCACACTTCCACTTACCTCTCTGGGCTTGCTTTCTCCATTCACTAAACAGGGATGAAAACATAGATTCCTAAAGGAATTTCAACTTTTCAGTTGATAGTCATTAGGTACCAGTAGAAAATGAACACAGCCTGCAAGATGTGTGCACATCTTCCCCAAGAATCCCTGAGTGGTCTCTGGGGGCTCCAGCTTCAGGGCTCATTTAATATTCCTTTTTCCCATGCATACACAACGCTTCATATTTCTCCCAATCAATGTGCCCCAAGAGAAAGTTTTATTCTCTGAGGTGTACTAATTACATCTGCTAATTGCTAAATCAAGCTGCTGTATCAACACAGTTTAGTTCGAGTCAATTTTGAATATTGCCCCATTATGATAATATTTGGAGAAAAACAATATCTAGATTTCTTTTATTCAAATTAACTCCCTTTTCTGTTTAATGTTGCAATTAATTTCTTTGTGTGTGCATGTATAATGTACCTTTGGATAGCAGCTATTATGCCAGATATTATTCTCTTTGGTAAAAATCTTAAGCAGCTGGAATCATGCCAGTAATAGACATGGAGAAATAAAATGAAGATTGAAGTGTGCAAGAGAATTTGCTCAGTGGGAGAGGTGAAGTGTGTGTATGTGTGAGAGAGAGAGGGAGGGAGACAGAGAGAGAGAGAAAAGGAGAGAGAAAGAGGGACAGGGAGAGAGAGAGAGGGAGACAGAGAGAGAGAGAAACAGAAACAGAGACAGAGAAATAGAGAATAAGATAGCCATTTTTGGATGGGCGGAGTAGCTTGCACGTGTAATTCCAGCACTTTGGGAGGCCAAGGCAGGTGGAGTCCAGGAGTTCAAGATCAGCCTGGCCAACATGATGAAAACCCATCTCTACTAAAAGACAAAAATTAGCTGGGTATGGTGTCGCATGTCTGTATTCCCAGTTATTTGGGAGACTGAGGCATGAGAGTTGCTTGAACCCAGGAGATGGAGGTTGCAATGAGCCAAGGTTGCATCACTGCACTCCCTCCTAGGTAACAGAGGGAGACCCTGCCTCAAGAGAGAGAGAGAGAGAGAGAGAGAGAGAGAGAGAGAGAGAGAGAGAGAGAGAGGGAGAGAGAGAGAGAGATATTTATTTTTTTCTGTTTCTGTAATGAAGTATCTACATGGGAAATGGCATGATGCTAAAGAGGCCACAATGACTCTCTCTCCCTGCTCTTTCTCTGGGCCCATGTGTCCTGACCCAGGGAGACACCATTACACCAGCTATACTCAGTGGCCTTCAGCAAGCAGAAACTGCAGAGCGCCCCTACCAAGAAGCCAGCCCTTCCCTTTGGCGATCTGCCCACAGGATACCAACATCTGCACACCCAGCTCCAGTATGAATGCATCTCACCCTTCTACCGCCGCCTGGGCAGCAGCCGGAGGACATGTCTGAGGACTGGGAAGTGGAGTGGGCGGGCACCATCCTGCATCCCTAGTGAGTCAAGGCTCATTCTCGGGCTGGAGCATCTTCCATCTTTCACAGCTGCCTGTGAAAAACCATTAACTCTGTTGAAGACTTTTTGAGAAAGCATCTCCAATGCTTTCTCTAATTTGATGATAGCTGAAATTCCATAGTTTTATCGCTTTGGCTTTTTTCCTTTGGGTTAACCTTACTACTCAGGAGAAATTGACTCATTAAATCTTAGAGTCATACTTTCTTGGGTGATTCTATCATATTTACTTGGAGGAAAGGGTCATTAAGTCACAAAGTATGGAAGGGGTTAAAGGTGCCAGAGGGCCTCAAGTTATATAATCTTGGCTTGGGTACTTATTATTAAGCAATGAGGTACTAGGCCGAGGACCAGTGGTTTATGCCTCTGATCCCAGCACTTTGGAAGGCCAAGGTGGGTGGGTCATTTGAGGTCAGGAGTTCAAGACCAGCCTGGACAACATGGTCAAATCCTGTCTCTACTGAAAAGACAAAAATAAAAAATAAATAAATAAAATTAGCAGGGCGTGGTGACACATGCCTGTAAACCCAGCTACTTGGGAGGCTGAGACAGGAGAATCATTTGAACCTTGGAGGCAGAGGTTGCAGTAAGCCAAGATCATGGCACTGCACTCCAACCTGAGTGACAGAGTGAGTCTCTGCTTCAAAAAACAAAAAACATAATGAGGTATTAATTACATCATAAGGTTATGATGATGAATACTGAGATAATATGCGGAAGTATCTGGATTAGGGGCCTGCAGTTACTAAGCTGCCTTCCCCATCCTCTTCGTGAAAGGAGAACAGTATGGTTTAGTTCATTGTTGTCATGTCTATGAGGATAGTCACGATATTTTGAGTTTGTTTACATGTACCATCTCATTCAGTCTCCTGAAGAGCTCTGCGAGACCATTGTTATTGCTCTATCCATTTTACAGGCAAGAAGAGGCTCTGAAAGATTAGAGTACTTACCCAAATTCCTATTGTTAGTTAGTGCCTGGGATCAGAACTCAGATTTCATTTGACTGCAAAGCCTCCAATTTTAGCCCTAGCCTTTACAGCCAGCTGTGTCAAAGAGGGTTCATTAATATTTAAAGGGAGAAGAAAACCAGGTTACATGGCTTAGCGGTCATCACACCCATAGGGTTCACCTTTCGGATCTGTGCTCTCTGGTTGAGTGACAGACTCTCCTTTGGATGACAAAGTCTGAATTTATCTTACTAAGCTGGTACTTTCTCCATAGTCTGCGGGAAAATTGAGAATGTTACTGCTCTGAAGACCCAAGGTTTGCGCTGGCCGTGGCAGGCGGCCATCTATAGGAGGACCAGCGGGGTGCATGATGGTGGCCTACACAAGGGAGCATGGTTCCTGATCTGCAGCGGTGCCCTGGTGAATGAGCGCACTGTGGTGGTGGCTGCCCACTGTGTTACTGACCTGGGGAAGGTCACCATGATCAAGACAGCAGACCTGAAAGTTGTTTTGGGGAAATTCTACCGGGATGATGACCGGGATGAGAAGACCATCCAGAGCCTGCGGGTAAGAGGGGGCCTGGGCTTATACATGGAAGCTGGGGCTCTGGCTCTTGCAAGCCCTGTCCCCTTAGCATGTCAGCAGCCAACCTGGAGCCTGGCATGTAGGAGTATTCAATATTTTACATGGACAGATACTAGACGGGGGCATCTAGAAAGACTGTGGAGGCTTTTTTCCACCTTGATTAATTTATAAACAAGATAGAGGCAAATGTATCTATCATTTTGGTCATCAAAAGTTAATCACCTAAGAGTAAAATGTACTTCTCCTAGTAACATATGTCACCTAGGTGTGTATGTCATAAACTGTGACAAATTAAAAATTAGTGAAATTATTTGTTTAATGGCTGGCTCTGCCTGAAACTGTTAGTTCCATGAATGTTGTGATTTGTCACTGTACCATCACTGCGTGGCACAGTGCCTGGCTCAAAATAGATTATCAATAAATATTTTTTTAATAAAAAAGGTTAACCACCTATAACATTTGGGTACTTTCCTAGGTAGGCTTTGAGGACAGAGATGTTTTACCCAAGATATACTCCTAACAAAGTTACAACATATGTCTATTTTTCCCTGCCTCCCTACCTCTCTTTTATTCACCAACCCATCTGTCTATCCATCCATCTATCCATCCCTACTTCCATCTATTCTTCCATCCATCCCTTCATCTATCCATACATCCATCTATCCCTCCATCTATCCCTCCATCTATCCATCCATCCATTCATCCATCCATCCATCTCTCCATCTATCCACCTACCTGTCCATCTATTGTTGAGCCACCACAATGTGCCATTCACTGTAAGTAGGCACAGAAAAGAACAGGACATGTTTTATTTTCTCTGAAAAGTCCAGTTGAGTGGGAGAGACAGACCAATGTATCATGATCAATGTGACACAAGAGAAATCCTAAGGCAATGTACTCAAAGAAGATTGAGGTAATAGAACATATACCTAAAAATTTTACAAGATGTGTGCTCCTAGAGGCTCCCATCAAAAGGCATGACCAGCAAGGACTGGGAAAATTAGGAAGGACTTGGTGGAAAAGTCTTGTGGAACATGCTAAGCATGACTCTATTTGCTGGCTTGAAGGTAAATGAAATGTTTACGGTGGACCAGAGGCTGAAAACTTAGCCTGTGAGGGTTTGTCCCTTGATGGTGCTGACACATATTTTAAATCATTTATTTATTTGCAAGCATTGTTTGATGTCAAGATATTTCACTTAAAGATTTGGAATTCACTTTCTAGCAAAACTAGAATGCTGGTCCCGCTTCGGCATGGAGTGGTTGACTGCAGTGACGTGGCCACTGCCCACCTTGGATGGGTGTGCAGCCTCAACTGTCCATTTCACTTACTTAATCCTCCCTTCCAGACCCTAGGAGGCATTTCAGTTTGCAACACTGGAAGTAGAGCAGCTGCTTTCCATGATTCCTTCAGCAAAATGTCTCCAAATAATTGTAGCTGCCTCTTAGACATTTTCTCCCAATAATTTATCCCCAAGACTTGCCTGTTCCTGTCTACTGTGGAGCTGGCTCCTCACTGTCACTGCCCATTCCTTGCATTTGTAGATTTCTGCTATTATTCTGCATCCCAACTATGATCCTATCCTGCTTGACACTGACATCGCCATTCTAAAGCTCCTAGACAAAGCCCGCATCAGCACTGGAGTTCAGCCCATCTGCCTCGCTGCCAGTCGGGACCTCAGCACTTCCTTCCAGGAGTCCCACATCACTGTGGCTGGCTGGAATGTCTTGGCAGACATGAGGAGCCCTGGCTTCAAGAATGACACACTGCGCTCCGGGGTGGTCAGCGTGGTGGACTCACTGCTGTGTGAGGAGCAGCATGAGGACCATGGCATCCCAGTGAGTGTCACCGATAACATGTTCTGTGCCAGACAGGACCCCGCTGCCCCTTCTGATATCTGTACTGCAGAGACAGGAGGCATTGCGGCTGTGTCCTTTCCAGGACAAGCATCCCTTGAGCCACGTTGGCATCTGATGGGACTAGTCAGCTGGAGCTATGATAAAACATGCAGCCACATTCTCTCCACTGCCTTCACCAAGGTGCTGCTTTTTAAAGACTGGATTGAAAGAAATATGAAATGAACCAGGCTCACACCCTCCTTGAGAAGCATTTCTGTGCATCCATCTATACATGTGTCATTGCCTGAAGCAGTGGTGACCTGAAGTGTGATTTTGCCTGTGAACTTGGCTGTGCCAGGGCTTCTGACTTTAGGGACAAAACTCAGTGAAGGGTGAGTAGACCTCTACTGCTCATAGGCTGATGTCTCCTCCACTACTAGGACAGCCAATTGGAAGATGCCAGGGCTTGCAAGAACTAAGTTTCTTCAAAGAAGACCATATAGAAAACCTCTCTACTCTACTGACCTGGTGGCCTTCCCCACCTTTCAGTGACATGAATGCCATCAACTTGACCAGGGAAGATCTGGGCTTCATGAGACCCGTTTAGAGGCTCTCGAGTTCTAGAGAGCTGCCTGTGGGATAGCCCAGGGCAGCAGAGCCTGGATGTGGCACCTGCTTTTGTGTATGTGCAGCAGTACAGTCTGGTCCTTTACCTTCCCCATCTCTTGTACACATTTTAATAAAACAAGGGTTGGCTTCTGACCTACAAAACAAATGTGCTATGCTGTTATTTCTGTATGCTGTTTCTAGGAACTACACGTATCAGGGCTGATGGCTTGGTGATAGCCCTTTAAAACAGTGCCAAGAGCTATCATTCCCAAATAGTGTGTTTGACAAAGCCAATGCCATCTTTTTAATACCAGCTTTTAGAGCTTGGTGGGTCATGGGCCCCTCAAGGGAGGAGAGACATTGGTACCCTCCCACAAGGCACAAACAGAGACAAATACCAGAGATTAGATAATTTCTAGGTTGCCTCTGCTTCTCATCTTCTAGATCCAGCACAGAGTCCTGCTTTGAACCTCCATAAATCTTCATAGAATGCTTTTATAGCATCTGAATTGAAGTCATGTATTTACTCACACTAGGTTTAGAAATGCCAAGAAACTGTAGCTTCACTGTCGTCTATAACTTACGTGATTTTTCTCTCAAGCCTCACCCTCACCTTCCACTGGATAGTGAAGGAAAGAAAATGAATTCAGTCTAGTCAGACACCTTAAGGAATCCTGGCACTGACCCTCCTTTTGGGGTGACTTACTCTTTCACCCTTTCTCCCCTGCTCTCCTCGCCAGTTCTCTTCACTAGGCTGGTGCTTTAGAGGGTTACCTACCTTCAAGCATTGGGATGAGAATGGGGACCCCTAAGTTCTTGCTGGTTCTTGGGTAGTGTGTGGTGGGTCTTTTTTTTGTTGACATTTAATGCTAGAGTCTGTAACTAGTGTAACTTGTGCTATGTTCTCTATTTTACGGGGCCCAGCACTCCTTCCTGCAGCCTCAGCTCCTCAGCTCCTGCTGGAACTAGTGTTCCTGGCATCTGGTGATAATTCCTATTTGGCCCTGGTCAGGGTCGCTCAGCCTTATGGCCACAGTGACAACCTTCTCTGGCAACTGCCCAGCCACACTCTCAACAACCTCCTCTTCCTCCTTTGGGGAATTGGGGGAACTTTTTGGTCTTTTCCATACCACATGAGAGCTGAGAGCCCAGGCTTGTTACAGAACATCCTGGGAGACATTTACCTCCTGTAGACACAAACAGGAACTCCCTCGTTCCCTTAATGTGTCTCAGAAAACTCAAGGGCTTTAGCCTAAGATAGGAGGTGAGGATTTTATTTGTTACCCAACCTGTCTCCCGCCATGTCTGGGTCTTGACAAAATCCCATGAGCCAGAAGAGAATTTCTTCTACTTTCTCTTTTTGTCAGCCTTTCCTGGGGCTTTCCATAAGTCACATCTTCCTCCTTTCATTCAACCCTCCATGCCCATCATCCTTGCTTAATCAAAGATCAATGTGTTAGTTATCAATGGTTGCGTACAAATTACCCAACACTTAGTGGCTTGAATGGTAAGTGTTAATTCTCTCACCGTGTCAGTGGGTCAGGAATTGGTGAGCAGCTTAACCTGAGGTTGTCATCAACTGAAGCCTTGACAGAGGCTGGAGGATTTGAGTCTATAAATATTTATCAGGTCACTCAAAGGTTTTTCTTTGTTAAGCCTAGAAAGCTTGGATCTTAAAAGGTGTAATGGAACTTGGATTAAAGAGATAGATCTGAATTCAAATTCCCGTCTTTTAAATTCTTTTCTAAAGTGACCTTGGGCAATTACTTAGCCTCTCTACCTCAGCTTCATCACCTGGCAAAATGGCATAATAAAATCTTGAGATTTTGTTGTGGTAACTGTGACAATTAAGTGAGATGCTGTGGAAAGCAATGAATATAATATATGGTATATAGTCTGGTGCCGGTAGTGCCCGCAGGGTCAGGACTGTTCAGCTAGGCACAGCTCAACAACTGCCTCGGGAGGCACTCTACACATACCGGCCCACACCCTCCATCTCCTGACTGTGTCCTGACCCTCCACCTGGAATATCATATTCTCCACTTCTTTGTAACACTCTCTTTACTACTTGAGTTGTTTTCTCTTCTTGTCTTACTACTCGGATTTGGTTCACATGTACCTCATCTTAGCTATGACTCTGGCCCCCTCAGAAGCTGAAGCTGGCCTGCAATTTTGGTAATAACATCCCAGTCTGCTTGGTTCATGGCTCCTTGGCCATTTGCCACCACCTTTAGATCTTTCTACACTAGCACTGCTCTTGTGGGCTATGAACACTTGATCACACTCACCTAAGACTCTGAGGCAGGCAAAGAGAATCAGACACAGCTTGTCCCTTGGCCATATCTGACTGCTATCGGAATGCTGTCTATCTCTCTTTGTAACAGAGCCCTTGCCTGCTAGCCTAGAACTCCAAAGCTAGAAATCTTGAGCATATATCAGTCAGGGGCTTTTCAGAGAATCATAACTTTTAAGAGTCGTATACAATAAGGGATTATGATAACCACACAAAATCATGGCCACTGATGGAGAAGTCCTGTGCAAGACTGTTGCCTTTGTTTCTGGCATTGGACCTAAAATCAACCAGTCCAGTGGTAAGGAAGGAAAACTGGATGTGAAGTCAGCAAAGCAAGGACAAGTGGAAACCTGTGTTTGTCTCTTGCTGCCTCCAGCCTCCATGACGTGAGTGACCTGTAGTAGAAGTGGGTGCCCTTTGCTCATAGCTGCACAATCACCTAGTCCAGGACTCAGGGAAGCCAGAGAAGGATTTCCAGCAGGCATTGGAGGAGCTATGGGCCTGTGGGCTTTCTCATTCCAATAAGGTGAGCTGACAGATAGTAACACTGTTTGTGAGCTGCCACAGTGTCTGATGTGCTCTACCAACTCTCAAAGCCTGAAAGTAGTCACTGCTTCACTCTCCTTTCCAAATCTCATGTAAATTTCTCTTGTGCTCACTCTAACCTGGAACCATACAGGGAAGGTAATTCTGCAACCTAGTTTCAGTTGCCCTAAGCAGACACGGAACGAAGCCGTCACAAGTCATGGAATACTAATGCTGGAAAAGTGGCTGTCAACTGAGGACACCTTCAGGGAGTGCCAGAGAAAGCTCCTGCTTCATCTAGAATAGTTTGGTTCTGATTTCTTTTGTGGTGATTGCTTTGTTTTTTTTTTTATGTATCCATGTAGCCCCTGACATCTGACAGCTAGGTTTTGGTGCCCAGGAGTTGATGTGGCACTTCCAATGAGACTGTGATGTTCTCTTGTTGAAGATAAATACTCTCACAGAATGTCAATACCTGTTAGGATCATTCTGTGACTGTGATGGGTCAAGATACGAACAAGACCACTTCATACGTAAAAACAGACAAAAGCCAAGTGACTATGTAAACTAGAAAAATGCCAAATATTCCCCGCTCCTAGTTAATACGAGGGACGGCTGCTTCTTCATCAATTACAGTGGGAGCCTCTTTATAGTCTTTTTCCTTTTAGATAAGACTTATTACATGATCAATTATAGAATCACCCCCCCTTCCTGACAGCATCCAATCCAGAACAAAACCCCACCTTGAAACCTAAGACCACTTAACAGAAACTCAAATCCTGTAAATTTTTTCTAATGCTCTCTTGAGGAGACACCCCATAGTTCCCCATGATGTACATGTTGCCTCATTGCAAGGAGAAAAAATCCAACTTGTTCAATTACCAGGTACGTTTCTAGTGGTCTTTGGCTGGAAGGCATTGACTATATATTATAAATCACACATACACAGTCATATATGTATGTGTATATACATATATGCACACACACATATACACATATGAATATACAGACCCTTCCTGGCTTACAATGGCTTGACTTAGAACTGTTGAACTTCATGATAGTATGAAAGCAAGATGCACTCAGCACAATCATGTTTCAAGTACGGATGCAACCATTGTTTTTCACTTTCAGAACCATGTTCAATAAATTACATGAGATACTGATTTCATAGTTTATTGTGAAATAGGCTATTAGATGATTTTGTCCAACTGTAGGCTAATGTAATGAGCACATTTAAGGTAGGGTAGGCTAAGCTATGATGTTAAGTAGGTTAGGCATATTAAATATATTTTTGACTTAATGATATTTTCAAATTATGAGTTTATTGGGATGGAACCCCATTGTAAGTTGAGGAGCATCTCTATATGTATAAAAGCATCTTCCCTCATCATACAGATTTTACTAAATTTTATGTATCAAATAAATTTTATCATATGGTACACAAACTTTAGGTAAAATCTATATGATTTAAACAACACTTTCCTTTGGAGTGATCATATTTATACACAAAATGGACTTTTCATGAGTAACTGGGTAGTCAACTCACACTGTATTTTCTTACATTAACTCCAAAAGGAATTGAGAGAGGGGCCATTCGAGGATAGTAAACCTTTCATTCACAGGTAGTTAGAACTTTCATCAAGTCACTGGCATGATGAACAGGAAGGAGGGAAGATATTGTACATAAGGAAAGAGTTTGGAAAATACATAAGATTAAACATGGAGGGGGCTGTCTTGGGGAAGGGCAGATTGTTTTCCACCACTAACCTTTTATTACAGTGACAAGTCAGGTTGGCCAGCCAAGGCGAAGCCCATTGGTGGTAGATCTCAAATGCTAGGGGTTTCTGATTGTCCACTTGCAAACATCAAGCTCTTTATGATGTCATCAAGGGAGTGAAAGGATAGAAGTGGCATTCTAGAAAGGCCTGTCAGGATGGCTGTACTAGCCAGTGGGCAGTGCTTAAAAGACCGAGACTGTGGTCAAATCCTAGCTCTGTCACTTATAACCTTGAGCATGACACCCAATCTCTATCCTACAGTTGCATCTCATTTGTAAATGTGATTGACAATTTTTGAGGATTTAGCATTCAGCAAGATACTGCATTCAAGATTAAGTATATGGACAGTGTCTGGCCCAGTGCACTCTACAAATATTGGCTGCTATTATGGCTGTTGTTGTTTTGTTGGCATTCTTTGAGAGGAGGAGACTGGAGGTTGAAAAACCTGTTATGAGAAACGTTATGAGGGATTGGGGAGGAGAAAGGAAGTTTTAGAATGCTGTTGAGGTCCAAGTATGCGGAAGTAAGTTTGGAGTGGGGTCAATAACAGGAAAGAATGGGTAGAAATCAGTGAAGCAAGGATTGGAAGAACCAAGAAGGGTGAGAGCAAGAAGCAATGAGATTGTGTAAGTGGGAGTTGTCTGTATAGATTTCTGAGACACTGCAGGGACTGCCGTAATTTTTAAAATACATTTTCCCATATGCGTATGTGTATGGGGTGGGCTAGGGATGGTATAGGCTGGAATTGTTAAAAAGAACCAGGCTCAGCTGGACAAGCAGGAAATTTGCAGCCATCCAAATCTCTCCTTTCCGGCATAGTACCCATTATCCTCTGCAGTATGGGGTTTGAATATGAGTCTTCACAGTTCTGTGGGATTTATGAATTTTCATGTTGTCAAATTCATCATCTGCCCAATACTTAATGGGCCTTCCACATTTACTTCCTATATCAGAATATTCATCAATTAAGTATCTTCCATTCTGAATTCAATTCAGCATGGTGATTTCATTAATTTTCCACCTGTCTGGCATTCATTCATCAGCAAAAATTATTGATGTTCCAAAGGTCTCGGAACACTAAAGGTGGGCAAAATAGGCTGGCACTGGCTGTCAGTCATATCGCCCCAGAAGAACATGCAAAATTAGAAACCATGGTAAGAACTAGGAAGGAAAATACAGCATGCTGTGAGAATCTATAGCAGGGGGAACTGATTTAATCTGTAGGGGATATGATAAATGGTTTGCCTCCCTGGAAAGGTGAATGATGGCTGCGTCAAGAAGGAGGTAACTACCAGAACAAGGTTAGGGAGTGAGGAAGAGCATTCCCGACAGAGGGAAGAGCAGGTGCAAATACCTTGAGGTGGAGGGCTCCTGGTATATTTCAGGAACTTCTAGAAAAGCAGAAGGCTGCAGGGGAAAGTGTGAAGAGGGGAACAGTGTGATGTGAGGTTGGACATGGAGTCACACCATGCAAGGCCACTTTAGAAGCTGGGGGAACTGGATGAGAGGACATTGCCAGGGCCACACAGTATATATTAAACCGCATGAATTCCTAGAATGTGCACTGGGAATTATTAGTGGAGTCATCAAGCCATCGGTAGAACCCAAGGCTTTGAATGTGCTTTTTTTTTTTTTTTTTTTTTCTTGGAGACAGAGTCTCACTCTGTCACCCAGGCTGGAGTGCAGTGGTGCGATCCTGGCTGACTGCGACTCCACCTCCCAGGTTAATGTAATTCTCCTGCCTCGGCCTCCCAAGTAGCTGGGACTACAGGCACACACCACCACACTCAACTTTTTACTTTTTTATTTTAGCAGAGACAGGGTTTCTTTCACTGTGTTGGCCAAGCTGGTCTCAAACTCCTGAACTCAGGCAATCTGCCTGACTTGGCCTCCCAAAGTGCTAGGGTTATAGGCATGACCCACTGTGCCTGGCCTGCATTTGGGTTTTTGTGTTGTCCTAACCTAAACATGAATGAAGACCTTGAGTCTCATTTCATTGATACAACTGCATGTTGTTCTAACCGAGAATTATCTTAAATGGTATCAGATGAGTTAAAAGAAGAACGCTGACAGCCAGTGGAAGAGCCAAAGAAGTAAGACACATATCTTTACTCCTGCCTTATTTTTTCTCCTTCTTTAGTATCCTGTGAAAATTTTGAGTGAAATACTTTGGATCCCCAGGGCTTGGGGAAGTTTATCTTTTCGGGGCTGTTGGAAAGAACATTTTGGAGTGGCTTGGTAGCAATTTGTGGTCTCTCCTTGCTTTTCTTGGCACCAGGACTTGCTTTCCCTGGCAGAGCTCTGCCCGGATGTGCTGTTGAGGCCCAGCATTTTAAGAAGACTGTCTCAATGGCTGAGTTCTTTAGGGCTCACTTCACGTTTGTATTCCGATTCACTGAGTGTTTATCCAGAGGCTTGGACTAGGTTTGATGGAGAGCTTTGTCAACAAAGAAAAAAAAGTCAGTAGATAAAATTAGGGAATAGTTTTCTCAGGTGAGGAATACATTGAAGTCTGAATTCTTAGAGGAAAGCAAACCGCTGTTACATTTCTGAACTTATGGTTTCTAGGAAAAAGTAATTCCGCACAAATGAAAAGGAAAGGACAATCTTTCTCAGTGCTTAAATATATGCAATTTAGGAAAAGTTGTTTATTTTCCATTGAAAGAGGAACAGGGTGTTATAAATGGAGCAGTATCCAGGTGCTAATAAAATGAAACCTCAGAGTGAACTGGGATAACTTCCAATTCACTGCATTTATGCAAAGACATAATTTAGTCGTTTAGTCATTGATTAAAAAAAAAAAAAACTCTGAATCAGTAATCTCAATTTAAAACTAAATTACCTGGTTGCTATCTCTCTCCTTCTTTATTAAGGAAAATCATTTTATAAGAAAAATATTTTTGGGAAGTGATACACAGCCTCTTTCAGAATAACCACGGAATTTCATAAAGAAGCGAGCAGAGAAAATAGAACAAGAATCACAGCGCTGGATTTTCTGAGGTCATCAGATTCTAGCTTGGGTCCTTGATTCAGTCCTTTATCCAAATCACTTAGCATTTAATCACAGTGAGCTGCTGTTCAGCAAAGAAATCCCCCCAAAGATAAAAAAAACATCCATTCTTTTGTTCCTCACGAGGCTGTCACTACGGAATATTGTGATGTCCTAGCAGAACAAAGGGAAGGGGGAAGGTGGAGGCATTACTGGCCATCATTGTAAGGTTAGGAGAAACTGGGGGTAGAAATTAAAATAGCAGCAATCACTCTCAAAGAGTATTTCCACCTTACACAGGATCAAGCAGTTAAAAAGGAGACAGCTGTTCTAATTCAAAATGTTATGGTTTTTATGGTGGGCATACAGAATTTGCACCACCCCTGACATTTAGTCTCAAGTCATCTCGTAGTAGAAATGCTGACGGAGGGAATGATATACTGAGAATTCACAATTCATCTTTTTCCATTGTCTCCTTTCTTCATCTATACTAAACAAACGGGATGAATTCACACTCTTTCCAGTAGAATTCATCAGGCAGTAAGCGTAGCTATCCACTGTGTCAGCCTTCCCAAGCTCTCTACTTAATGAGACAATTTCTGCCTGCAGAATGGATTATATTTAGGCCAAGCTCTCAGTCTGAACTGAGATTTCTATGAAGTAATATATCTCTTTTCTCATCAGCTAAGAAAGTGAGGTAAAAATAGAACTCCTGACTTCTCTTTTGCTAATGTGTGTTAACAAGAAAAGTGAATGAACTCAGTTTGTATCTTACAGCTCCAAATACCCGTAAGGCAGATTATTCCCTTGAGTCTCTATTCAGTGACCACCACCAGACTGACAGGGCTACAGGCTGGCTCATTTGTAGCTGTACTGTGTGGTTGAAACCAAAGCATTACCACCAATCTTCTGGGTGATGAGAGTGCCAGCAGCTAGGAAGCTGACATCATAAAGATGATAACAGCTCAGTGTGCCAGGAACTGTGCTAGATGCATTACGTGACATAGCTTCATTCAGTTCTCATATGAGCCCAGTGGATGGGGTTACTACTATACCCACTGGTGCTCAGAGGGTTAAGTAACTTACTGAAGGTCACTCAAAATGGAAAGAAAGAATGATGAACTCAATTTGAATCTCGCTGCTCCAAACATGGTCAAGATGGATGGTTACCAGGTTGGTCTAATTCTGAAGACTGTTATAATGTCTGTGGCCACACTGACATTCTTAGTTCAATGTCCTGGTGCTGCCACTGTGAACATTCTCCCCCAGCTACTAACTGCTCCAAACCTACTTCTTTTTCTGAAACCTTTTCAATTTAGTTTCAGGATTCTTCAGTTTCTCTCTTGCATGCTCTTGGCTTCAGAGCCAACATTATCAGGGAATAGTATCTTTCCTCTGAAATTGGAACACTGTATAATAATTTTCATTCATCCTAAAATAGCTCATATTTTTGAAAACTAGCAAACTCGTATTAGTTGTCTCATGAAGGAGCCTTTAATATGTCTTCTGTTTTACTTAATTCAAAAAAAATATTAAGGTGTCTAGTCTTGTAGTTAATGATAGGGTGAAAGTGTTAAAGACAGATCCAGACACACAGCTTATAATTCCTTGGTCATTTAGGCAGGCAGAGGACAGACACTGTATTCACACAGTGTATTCATAGTACATGCCAGGACCTGTGATATCTGCTTTACATATGTAATTTTTGAAGCTACAAAAATTATTTCCATTTTACAGAGGAGGGAGTTTAGGCTCAAAGAGATTAGGTGACCTACCCAATGTCATGTGTGGAGAAACTGGGATTTGAACACAGGCCAGTTCAACTCCAAAGCCTAGATTTACTTTACCAAGAACCTTTGTGAAAAGTCTGAAAGGACAAATCTGTGACCAGAGTGGCCCTGACTTTGCAAAGAACCACAAATATGAATGCCCCACTTAACGAGCTGATGGTGGTTAGTTTTCTCATTACCAAGTTTTGGAGAGCATCAATCATCTCAAAAAGCAAAGCAGATGAAACAGTAATTGCACTTGGGGGGAAAAGTCAATTGATATTTCTCAGACATTACTAAATGACGGTGACTTTTGAGTGGCTAACCCTTGGGTCACTTGGCTGTTACTGATCTCTCCAGGTCACTTTCTTCTGATAAACTTTGAACATTGAAACATTTCTCCTTTGTTGTCATCATGAGGGGGATGGTTTTATTCAGCAGCCTTTCATGGGAAAGCAATTTTGTTTTCCACTTCTCTTTTCTGTTAGGAGTTCCCTCCCACCCAGCCTCCCTTATGTGGAGCTGCAATGGCCAATCTGAAGCATTCTGAAGGAGAGCCAAGACAGGGATGAATTCCTTAGAAGAGCACAATAGAAGGGAGAATCTTTGTCCTTTCTTTGGTCCAATTAAACTCCTACAATAATTGCAGAAGAATGTTGAGAAATGCAGCATTTAGGACAGAAAATTTGAGGCCATATTGTGACTTCTTCCATGGTATAAATATGCCTTCTTTTGATATCTAGTAAATGGTCTGACACAGTCTGTTTCTCTGCTAGAACACCCCATAGTAGAGAGGTCCCACATGTTATGGGGGCTACCTGTTCCAATAATGATAATATCCTCCTCCTAAGTTGCATAGCAGGGAGGTTAAAAGCAAGAGTTTTGCCGGAAGACTGCCTACACTCAAATCTGGCTTTATCCATTGGCCCTGTAGAGTCATTCTTCACCCTCCTCCATCCTCTGTTTCTCAGGGAGGTTGAACTGAAAAAACTGCATGTGAATTGTTTCAGCGGACTCTCCTGCCCTCCAGCTTCCATTTGGCTTTGGCCAGTATAGAGCTCTGGAGAGGAAAGAAGGACTGGAGGGAAGTGAGGATTGGAGTGTTTATTTCCAGGTTCCCTTCCAGCAGGTAGCTAAGGCCACAAAGGTCTCAGCTCCTATCAAGTGGCTTTCTGGATGGAGAACGCTCCTCTGGGTCCTGGTACCTCCTTTTGGCTTAGGATGGGCAATTGTTCCCTACTGTTAGTAGCCCAGGGAGTCTGCCCTGTCCCTTAGAGTTTCCCTACTCCCTCCCACAACCTCCTAAATGACTCCTTTATTAAACTTACCACAATTTACTTAATTTAAATATGCCATCTTTTTTAGCTGAAAAGTACAACAAATGCAACCACTTAAAAAACAAATACAACCACTGACTGTCTAACCTTGGGCAAATTCCTTAATTCCTCTTGGCCTCAGTTTTCTCCTCTGTAAAATGGTGGTTTAATAATATTTTCTGCAGAAGATCATCTTAAGAATGAAACAAGGTACAATACATAAGGTGCAATACATTATGCACATAGGAATTACTAAGGAAATGCTAAGATCGTGCGACTACCACGAAGTTCTAGCTCCCACACTACCTTAACTCAACTATAGTAACTCACTTCTGGGAACTTGGCTTAGGTTTTCAGTCAAAAATCAATACAGCAAGAAAGAAAAAACCCCTTATGATCAAGATTCATTTTTAAAATCCCTTACTTCACCTATCAGAGTATGATACAGTTGATTTTCTCATATTCAGTCCTGCAGAGTAGTCCTTGTTGATGCTGAAGTTTGAGAACCCATGAACTAGACTTAAGAAAGGTAAGGCCAGGCGCGGTGGCTCAAGCCTGTAATCCCAGCACTTTGGGAGGCCGAGGCGGGTGGATCACGAGGTCAAGAGATTGAAACCATCCTGGTCAACATGGTGAAACCCCGTCTCTACTAAAAACACAAAAAATTAGCTGGGCATGGAGGTGCGTGCCTATAATCCCAGCTACTCAGGAGGCTGAGGCAGGAAAATTGCCTGAACCCAGGAGGCAGAGGTTGCGGTGAGCCGAGATCACGCCATTGCACTCCAGCCTGGGTAACAAGAGCAAAACTCCGTCTCAAATAAAAAATAAAAAAAAAAAAGAAAGGTAAATCTGTATGCAAATGTCAGTCTTCTGCTTTTGCCATGACTACGGGGTCCCTACAGGAGACTGAGAGATGCCAGCAAATTCCAAGGCGTTCCTGCAGCTTGTGGGGTTGGCCTTGTTCTGTTCTTCTTCCAAGGTTCTATTAATTTACTGCCAGCTATGAGACTTGTAGTTTGCTCTAAAGATTAACAGGAAACCTTGGGGATCACACGGCAGGTGGGGATGCTAGGTTCTCAAGACAGCTCAGCTGTAAATTACACTGGGTGAATGCTGCTGTTCCCATGTGTCTAGGGTGGTTCTCTAATGAGCTGAAAAAGATGTAAGCATTTCTCACACATCCCATTTAATCCTCATGACAGCCCTGATGATGGCCATTATTACCTTCTCCAGTTTGGGGATGAGGAAGCTAAGATCTTGTGCCCAGAATAAGGTAACACAGAGTCTAATACTTGGCAGGGATAGTATTTAACACAGGACTGTCTGATCCAGAGCTGAGTTTTTATTCGGCACCATCGCATGCTGTACAGTGGCTTACCATCAATGCTCTGCGTATGCACAATATAAGTAGAAAACTCTGTGTTTTTATGGCTGCTGACATTGGTTATCTAGAATAACATACAAGTGTTTGCCTGGGAAGTTTTTCATTTCCTGTATTTAAAGGCAAGAGGATCAGCTCTGCATCAAATCTTCCCTAGCAATTTCTTTCCAAAGGCTAAATGTACCATGCTCCAACTACTTCTTGGGGCCCTATTTCTAGATTCTTCTCTATGTTGTTAAACTACTTCTAGTCCAGTGTTTCCCAACTCTGCCTGTACAGTGGACTCAATCACCTGGGGAAGTCCTTAAAAAGTACCCAAGTCAGTCCCCCAACCCCACAAGATGGATGGACCAGAAATCTCTGAAAGGTGGTTTGAGTATTGTTATTTTCTAAAAGGCTCTCTCAGAACGTTTTAATGGGAAGCCAGTGTTGAAAATAACTGCTCCAGTTTGTTAAAAAATAATTGGTGTGAATATTGGCAAAAGCCCTCTGGCATGAAGAAAGAGAACCAGTTTCTTCTAGCTAATGTTTGTTAGCCAGAATTATCTGTGGCATAGTCCATGTGACTTAACAGACCTGGTCTTCCAGGGCAGCTGAGTGCAAATGTTTCTCAAGCATAGAACGGGATGTCAGGGCTTACAGAAAAAATGGCAAGCAGGAATGATGACTCCCATCTAATCTGGCCATGCTAGATGATTCAGCTGGATTCTCTCATGTCCTGAGCATTGAAAACATAATGAAGAGGTTTTATATTGGATGTTTAAAGAAGTGAAAACAACTCTATCCTTTTTTCTGTTTCCTTTTACCTTGTGTTTATGTTCCACCAGGTGCCTTGCTCTTGGCAGTGAGTGTGAATGAATGGCGCGGCCCAGCCCCAGAAGCCTGTGAGATGAAGGGATTGTGATGGAGTAGTTCATTCATGCTCATGTTAAAGGGGCTGCTAACAGCAGAGTGGTGCCACTAGGATTATTAATGTCTAGATCTGGGAGAGATTCCGATGGCCTCTTTTCCAGTTGCCACTTCAGCAGAAAGGGAAATAAAATCCCTACACTGTAAAATTAGAATACGAGACTGTAAAGTTTGTATATGTGACAACTTCAGATTTAAAGTCACACACTCTTGACAGGGCTTAAGAGGAGAGAGTGTCAAGCATTATACCAAAGTGAAAGAAGGTTGCCTTTCATCTACAAATTATTTTTTAAAACACATTTACCAGGTTAAACAATAATTTTTTTTGGAAGAGTACCCAAAGTCAAATGCCCTAAGATGAAGAGATGCTTATGAGATTTTTTTTTTTGTTTAAATAAAGAAAATGCAAAGTTAGAATGGTTCTAAAGGAATCAGGAACCACTAGAATCCTGTCTAGTGGTGCAGACAGGATTGAAAGAGAAGAGGGAAGGGGAGAGATGGAGAAAGGCATGGACGGAGGAAGACGTTTGGATTCAGATTTTGGAAAGGAGAGTAAAGGAAGGAGGTGAGCAGAGAGTTTTAAAAATTCTATTATATATGTTTTTCTCTCTTTTGCTTATTTTTCTCATCTGTCTATTCATACTTGCGTATTTTGCCCAATGAACTATCTTCTAAGAACCCTTAGAATGCACCGAACATTTTTGGAGGGTTTTCTGGGTGCCAAACGCCAGTTTAGGAGCTTTACCTGTCTTCTCCATTTCATTTAGTTCTCTTAGCACAGAGAAGTGGGAGACTTTTAGTCCCATTTTACAGATGGGATGAAGAGAGATATGGAGGAATTTGCCCCAGGTTACTCCGCTAGAAGGTGGTGAAGAACTCAAGCCTTAGGCTATCAGCACCTGACATTTTAACTATCAATCGGTCCTGCTGGGACTCCCGCTCCTCTAGCACCATCTCCGAGGACCTGCTCAGAGTTTGCACGTGGCCGGCCGCGTTCCATCGACTAACAAGGTCCAGAACAGCGCAAATCCGAAGAGCGCCTACCCCGGGGGAAAAAGAGAGTCTGTTTAATTATCACTGCTGCCCTCCAAGTGAGCTCTTCTGGGACCCATTGTCTAGATGAGGAAAGTGAGGCTTTGCCTGCTCTGCCGTCACAGGGTCGGCAGGTATTGGGGCCCTAGGTTCCTGCTGTGCTCCAGAAATAAAGCTGCCCGGGTCTCGTCATTTTTATGCAAAGCCATCCAGGAGGTTCGAACTCTCCCTAGCACAAGCCCATCTGTCTCCGCGGGCCGCCCCCAGACTCGGAAGCAAGCGGCGAGCAGCGCCGAGTGGGTAGAGAAGCGTCCCCCGCCACTCACCTCCGCCAACTCTGCGGCTTCTCAGCCCGCGCCCCCGCGAGGCCGACCTCTCTCCGCCAAAAAAAAAAAACCCCGGTCCCCCTCTGCACCCCGCCCGCCGCCCCCAGGGAGCTGCATTAATATTAATCTCGCTGAATAATTGAAGGCCGGAGATTTATTCGGGCTTCGGCGGGGGAGGGCGCACAGCTGGGCCGCGTTTAGGGTCCACCACCAGCGTGTTTCAGCAGCTCGATTCCGAGGGGCCTGGGACCCCCCCCCCAGTGGTGGGAGGATGGGGTGGGTGTGCCTGCCTGTGAGCTTGGGGGTGAGTGGGAGTTGAAGCGGGTGCTCCGGGGAGTGAGGAGGCAGCGCCAGGGGCTGCTCCAGGGAGGCGGAGACGGAGGGGCATCCCGGGTCTCTGCGCCGTCGCCTGCGCTTCACCCCGCACGGGGTGACCCGGGGCCACGCGGTCTTCAGGGGAAACAATAGCGACTCCTTAGATCTTGGGCTCCTGCCACCGGCTGCCCAAGCCTTCCCGGACTAGCGGCGGGGCCTCTTTTCTTATTTGGCTAATTTATGGCGAGAGGCTGGGGGGAGGGATGGCAGAGGAGGGACCGCGTCTGGAGATGGGGGCGGGGGGCGGCGGTTAAAGGAGTTGCCCGAGGCGGCGGCGCGGGTGATGTCAGCTCTCGACGAAAATAGAGAGGGATCGCCTGCAAATCCCCAGCTCCGGCGGGGCTAAACCTTGCAATCCCTCCCCGGCCGGCGCCGAGCCAGGGCGCAGCAGCCTCCACCGCCTCCCCCGGCGCGCACACACACACCCGCACACGCGCACGCACGCTCACCGGCCTCTGCCACCACTCTCTGCTCCCGCCACTCGCCGCGCCCGCGAGCCCCGCAGCAAAGCACAGGTGGCAGCGGCTCAGGGGCGCCTCGCCGGTGTGCTCCTTCCTGCAGCCCTGGGCGCTTCGCTGTTTCGGGGAAGCAGCCCTCGGAGCCCCCAGAGCTCCCAGCCAAGCGCCATCCCCGCGGGCGGAGGGGAGCGCGGGTAGCGCGCCGTGGAGAGCCGGGACCCGGATTAGCGCCCGCAGTAGCCTCCTGTGCCCGTTGAGGCGCTAAAGGGCTTACCCCGGAGGCGGGTGGAAGGGCGGGCAGAGGCGCCCCTTAAATATCGCTCCTGGCCGCAATTTCGCGCTCACCCAGGCGCCCGCTCTCTCCCTCGCCCGCAGCTGCTGGATAGTGCTGAAGAGGAGGGGGCGTTCCCCAGACCATGGCATCCACGGAAGGGTGAGGGGATTTTTCTCTGTACCCGCGGGAAAGCGGGGCCACGCGCGGGGTAGTGGTGCCCCTATCCGGGATGGGGACAGAGAGGCGTCGGCGGCGGGCCTCGGAGGTGGTGGCGGAGCAGTGGCTTCGCTGGGGGTGCGACGGTGAGGAGGAGATTGATTTTCTTTCTTGGAGATTGCTGCTTAATCCTTTGAAAATGCGAGAGGCGGAGGGTTGTTTTATTTTGATTAAAAGGGTAAGGTGCGTTGGGGGCGTGAGAGTGTGAGGAAGAAATCCTCTTGAGGTTACTTTTGAGATTTCAAAACAATAAGGGATTGGGCACAGTGTGAGCAGACGCGGGGGTAGCAGCGCCTCCGGCGAGGTGCCCCAGACCCAACGCCAACTGACTGGTGGGGCCGGCCGGGAATGAATGAGCCAGGACCGGCTCCTGGGGCGGGGCGAGGATCAGCGCGCGCGGCCTTGAACTCCAGGTTTACGGAGTCGTCCTGGAGGTGCTGGGCCCGCTGCGATCGCACTCCTTGTCCCTGGAAGGCGGAATCTCCCTGGCTAGCTCTAAGGAAGGGTGGAAGAGATTTGGGTGCTTCCCAGGAGGAGGCGGGAAAACGTGGTTTGGGACAAGGGCAGGAGTCACCAGACTCCAGCGGGCAGGAATAGCATTGACTTTCCGATTCAGCCCGAGGGCCTGGAGTCCTGTCCTGCCTCTCGAGACCGATGTTGGCATGGGAAAGCTCCCTCGCAGTGACAACTAAGGATTACTGTCTTGAGCAAGAGACAGAGGGGGCTTCAGGGGACAAAAGGATTCTTTGAATACTCACACATCAAAGGAAAGGTCCATGAACACAGTCCTTGGACCAGTATCTCCCAGAAAACTTTTTGGGGTTGGTAGAACCTGAATGGCCATGAAAAGACTGGGTAGCTCAGCCCTTTGGCTCATTCTCAAAATTGCAGTTGGTCACTTGCAAGAGATCACAGGATCCATGTTATGTGAAAAGCAAATATCAGGGGCTTCTCTGGGCTCCAGCGGTGGTGTTGGCGTTTTCCAGTGTCTCCTAAGAAATTTTACCAACTCTGCAGGCTTGTTTCAGGGGAATGGATCTCTAAGCAGGCGTGAAAAGCTGGTATCCAAAGCCAGATCTCTAGACTGCAACCTCCAATAGAAGGAAAATATTTCTCAAACTGTCTCTCTGTGTCCAGGAGAAGGAGCTCATTCCTTTTCTGTACCCCGGTGTCCTTCCAAACATCTGGCATCTTGTCACTGCATTAAATTTCTTCTCTTTCTTTGCCCTCACTGTTTTGCAGTGTGGACTTTTTGATTATTATTTCTCCAAAAAGATGTTTCAGGAAGACAACTGTGTACAAGAAGGGTGGTACCTTGTGCTAAAACAGATCTCTAGAAATAGATACGATGAGCCCATATGGATCAAGATCAGTACCTTCCCATGTCTAATTAAAAAGGCTTCTATATTAGAAAAGATATGAAAGCATTTCTGGTTGCCTTCAGGGACCTTCTAGACTTATCCTTGCTTGTAAAGGCAAGGGTGGAAAACATCTGTGGACAAGATGGATGATGTTAGTCTTTCAAATCCTGCGACCAACTCACTCCCTATTTTGATGGCCAGATAGAGTAGGAGGGGTTAGGACAACCCCAAACTGAGTATGTTTAGTTCACTTTTGTTCTAAATGAAAGCTGCCAAATGATTTGACATGAAATATAAAGCCAAAGTGATTTTCAGCATTTTAAAAAGATTGCCATCCAATTAATCCCATCTTTTGTACTGTGTATGGTTAAGAAAAGATTCCTCAAAGGAACTTTTATTTAAGAGATGAAAGAATTGAGAAAAGGTGAACAGCTGGGAAACAAATATAGGAAGATCTATGATCCATTATTGTTTAACAGCAGTAATTGATGAGCAGGTGACACTCTCAGAAGCCCTGGTCTTTCCTTTCTTCTTCTCTTCTTTTCTTCCAGGAGCATTTACTGAGCACTTGTTGGGAGGAACTCTGAGTCGGGGGTATACAGAAATGTAAACAGTCTGGGATCTGCCTTTTAGAAGTCTAGCTCCATCCAGTCAAGGATTTGTATTAGTAAATTGTTCATGTGGAATCGTGAGATCTCTTGCCCCTTCTAACATCTTTGGTTAATGTGCCATGTAAAGGAAAATTTACTAAGACTCTTCAGGCTGCCTCCTTTGTTAGATTTTGTCCTTTAACAGTATTGAAATTGTTTCCTTGAAACATACATTACTTAGAAGGAAGCAAAAATAGCAATATAGTTATATGCTTTCAATTTATATGTTTTCATTTCAACTCTGTTTGATCCAGAATGTTTGGGAGATAGGATAATATGGGAAACTGATCATTCTGGTTCACATTTATTTGGTGATGTCATTAGCAGCAGCAGAACATGTTAATTACCAATTTCTAAATAATTATTAGAAGCAATAGTGACATCTTATGTTTGTTTAACACTCCACTTTCAAAGCTCATTTGTGTACCTCATCACATTTGATTCTTCCAATAACTCTGTGAAGTAGGCAGTCCAATAAGAATAGACTTTAAGGATTAAATTATTTATAGAGAATATAATACCATCTTTCCAGAAAGATTTCAGGACTTGACAAAGCTTTGGGGTTATCTGAAAACGATGTGTGCTGGGCATGCCTGAGGCAGATTCCCGGCTTTTTCTCAAACTTTCGGCATACGTATCCTGCAAATTGCCTTTTAGGATATTCTCTTTGTAATCTGTGCACTTGGTCTTTGCTTGTGCAGAGGATAGGAAAGCACATTCTCGTTATTTGAGAGCTTTGATTATTTGGAATTGAGATTATTAGCATCTGGTTTCTATAATAATCAATAGTGAACTCTTCAGTAGTTCCCAGGCCCTGAGAGGTATTTTCCTGCAAAGCAAGGTCTAATTTGGTAGTTGAGCATTCTTTTTTTCTGAGTCCCCTGTCATGGCTAAAATTACAGAGATGGATTTTAGGGCCCTGACCCAAATTGGAAAGAAATTATAAGTAGTTGGTGGCAGACAGGCTAGTAGTGTCCATTACTGACGGGGTCACAGTGGAGTGCCCAGATGCTGAAGAGGCAGGCATTTTAGAGGTATCGTCTTGGAGGCTGGGGATGGCTAGGTCACTCTGTATGTCAGAGACCCAAGGCAATCCATCCTTTGATCAGCTCCCAGGGGCCAAGGGGTCAGGGTGAAAGTCAGCCATGAGGGCCTGAGCTTCAGTTTGACTTAAAGAGAAAGGAAAACAGAAAACTGCTGACAGTGGGAAAACCCTGGCAAGGGAGACCCCTTGAATTTATTATTTCAAGCAAATAAATTCAAGCCATAACCATTGCCTTCTTCCTTCTCTCCTTGGGAATGAATTTGAGGTCAGCTGGAGGAAGAGCCCACAGAGCAAACTTATTGGAAAGTGAGTGGGGGATATGAGGCTTGTGGTCTAGAGGGGTTTGCAGGTTGCATGCCTCAGGCTTGGCTGGAATTTTCATTTCTCATTTTCTCATTTTCAATAATATAGAAATCAGCCTCCTTGGGTAAAATAGATATTAGTAGAGCTATGAGAAAACCATTTCATGTTTACTAAAACAGTCTCTTGTGAGTAATTCAAAGCTTAATTCTCAGGAAATAATTTCTAAATCCAGAGGAAACATGTTATTAAAAACCAAAAGACAGGTCTGTTCATCAGTATCAACGGCCACTTCTTTTCCTCTTCCATGCAACGCAGTGAGGTGCCGTGTGTCTCCTTCGTTGGCGTTGGCTTTAAGGGATGTGTCAGACAAGGAGAAGTCCTTCAGCGACGATGCTTCAGCACGAGCAATATATTTAACAGTTAAGTGTGAGATTTCTGGGTCAGTGTGCCATAAATCCTACAGTTCCAGAATTGCAAAGCTTTTTCATAATTTGAAGCTCAACACAGAATGATTTCAATGTAAATCCTCCCCTCCCTGCTCTCCTCCGTGGCTGTGTCACACAATGCCCTGATTTCTGGTTTCCCCCCTTTTAAGTAGTTTCTCCTACTAAATTTTTCCACCATTGGACTGGCTTGCCTCTTGGAATGAGCTGAATCTAGTCTTCATTTCAATCGCTTGCTACAATTATTGTAATCTAATAAAACACTGATAGTACTAAATCTTCTAGCAAGAGTAAGCAGAGGCATCGTTCTCAAAATAAAGTGTTAGCTTTGTTTGCATTTGAAAAACTTGTCCTTGCAGTCTGAAAAAACATCTGCCAAACACCAGACATTGCCTTGCTTGCAGCTTTTGATTTCATGCCCTTAACAGCTTGTTGGGGGGCAGGCAGGATGCTTCATAGAAAGGGTTTTAGAATCCAGATTATGGCAAATCTTTTTATTTACCGGGATCGTGAGCTTGCTCTCTCTTCCCTCTGCCCGCCCCTCACCCCACAACTCTCTAAGGGCCAACTCCTTGCAATGAATTAATTAAAGGAATGTTTAAAAATATCTCATCGCTCTATCTCCACGTGCTCCATCATTGATTGGAGGCAGATGGGCTGCATATTTGTCGGTAGAATAGAAAAGGCCTAGCATCTCGTTATAAATCTGTCTGGTTGGTTTTAAATGATGTCGGAAAAGACAATGGGCCTGCAGTATTAAAGGAGGATGAAAGGAAGATCTTTAAAATTTTAAAGAGCAGACCTCATTTTCTTAGTGCTTTGGTTTTTCTTTAAAAAAAATTGTTGTTTCTCAATGATGTTGATATTTATTTTTCATTCGTTTATTTAATGTCTCACTTAGACGAGCAGATATAACTGTTGTTTGCTGAACTGCCGTCTGGAGTATTTGGCAATCTCATCAGTTGCTTTAGAGTGTGGACTCATTGAGCAAGGACTGTCCTTTGAAAATGGAATGAAGGGAATGAACTCGATTTGGCAGCTGGACTTGATCTGTGTCAATCCTGGTCTCTAGGATAGATGCCGGCAACGTTAAAGACCTTGAATGAAGTGTTTGGGGTCAAGAAGGGAGACACTGCCCGCA